TGGATTTATAAAATATTTTTTTTCTCAAGAATCCACAAGGCGTTGAATTATAAAATATTTTTTTTCTCAAGAATCCACAAGGCGTGGATTTATAAAATATTTTTTTTCTCAAGAATCCACAAGGCGTGGATTTATAAAATATTTTTTTTTCTCAAGAATCCACAAGGCGTGGATTTATAAAATATTTTTTTTCTCAAGAATCCACAAGGCATGGATTTATAAAATATTTTTTTTCTCAAGAATCCACAAGGCGTGGATTTATAAAATATTTTTTTTTTCTCAAGAATCCACAAGGCGTGGATTTATAAAATATTTTTTTTCTCAAGAATCCACAAGGCGTTGAATTATAAAATATTTTTTTTCTCAAGAATCCACAAGGCGTGGATTTATAAAATATTTTTTTTCTCAAGAATCCACAAGGCGTGGATTTATAAAATATTTTTTTTTCTCAAGAATCCACAAGGCGTGGATTTATAAAATATTTTTTTTTCTCAAGAATCCACAAGGCATGGATTTATAAAATATTTTTTCAAGAATCCACAAGGCGTTGAATTATAAAATATTTTTTCAAGAATCCACAAGGCATGGATTTATAAAATATTTTTTCAAGAATCCACAAGGCGTTGAATTATAAAATATTTTTTCAAGAATCCACAAGGCGTTGAATTATAAAATATTTTTTTTCTCAAGAATCCACAAGGCGTTGAATTATAAAATATTTTTTCAAGAATCCACAAGGCGTTGAATTATAAAATATTTTTTCAAGAATCCACAAGGCGTTGAATTATAAAATATTTTTTTTTCTAAAGAATCCATGGATTTATAGAATTTTTTTTCTCAATAATCCTCAAGGCGTGGATGTAGAAAATTTTTTTTTCTCAAGAATCCACAAGGCGTGGATTTATAAAATATTTTTTTTTTCAATAACCCACAAGGCGTGTATTTATAAAATATTTTTTTCAATAACCCACAAGGCGTGGATTTATAAAATATTTTTTTTCTCAAGAATCCACAAGGCGTGGATTTATAAAATATTTTTTTCTCAAGAATCCACAAGGCGTGGATTTATAAAATATTTTTTTTCTCAAGAATCCACAAGGCATGGATTTATAAAATATTTTTTTTCTCAAGAATCCACAAGGCATGGATTTATAAAATATTTTTTCAAGAATCCACAAGGCGTTGAATTATAAAATATTTTTTCAAGAATCCACAAGGCGTTGAATTATAAAATATTTTTTCAAGAATCCACAAGGCGTTGAATTATAAAATATTTTTTTTCTCAAGAATCCACAAGGCGTTGAATTATAAAATATTTTTATTCTAAAGAATCCATGGATTTATATAATTTTTTTTCTCAATAATCCACAAGGCGTGGATGTAGAAAATATTTTTTTCTCAAGAATCCACAAGGCGTGGATTTATAAAATATTTTTTTCTCAAGAATCCACAAGGCGTGGATTTATAAAATATTTTTTTTTCTCAAGAATCCACAAGGCGTGGATTTATAAAATATTTTTTCTCAAGAATCCACAAGGCGTGGATTTATAAAATATTTTTTTTCTCAAGAATCCACAAGGCATGGATTTATAAAATATTTTTTCAAGAATCCACAAGGCGTTGAATTATAAAATATTTTTTCAAGAATCCACAAGGCGTTGAATTATAAAATATTTTTTCAAGAATCCACAAGGCGTTGAATTATAAAATATTTTTTCAAGAATCCACAAGGCGTTGAATTATAAAATATTTTTTCAAGAATCCACAAGGCGTTGAATTATAAAATATTTTTTCAAGAATCCACAAGGCGTTGAATTATAAAATATTTTTTCAAGAATCCACAAGGCGTTGAATTATAAAATATTTTTTTTTCTCAAGAATCCACAAGGCGTTGAATTATAAAATATTTTTTTTCTAAAGAATCCATGGATTTATAGAATTTTTTTTCTCAAGAATCCACAAGGCGTGGATTTATAAAATATTTTTTTTCAATAACCCACAAGGCGTGGATTTATAAAATATTTTTTTCAATAACCCACAAGGCGTGGATTTATAAAATATTTTTTTTTCAATAACCCACAAGGCGTGGATTTATAAAATATTTTTTTTCAATAACCCACAAGGCGTGGATTTATAAAATATTTTTTTTCAATAACCCACAAGGCGTGGATTTATAAAATATTTTTTTTCAATAACCCACAAGGCGTGGATTTATAAAATATTTTTTTTCAATAACCCACAAGGCGTGGATTTATAAAATATTTTTTTCAATAACCCACAAGGCGTGGATTTATAAAATATTTTTTTCTCAAGAATCCACAAGGCGTGGATTTATAAAATATTTTTTTTCAATAACCCACAAGGCGTGGATTTATAAAATATTTTTTTCAATAACCCACAAGGCGTGGATTTATAAAATATTTTTTTTCAATAACCCACAAGGCGTGGATTTATAAAATATTTTTTTTCAATAATCCACAAGGCGTGGATTTATAAAATATTTTTTTTTCTCAAGAATCCAAAAGGCGTGGATTTATAAAATATTTTTTTTTCAATAACCCACAAGGCGTGGATTTATAAAATATTTTTTTTCAATAATCCACAAGGCGTGGATTTATAAAATATTTTTTTTTCTCAAGAATCCAAAAGGCGTGGATTTATAAAATATTTTTTTTCTCAAGAATCCACAAGGCGTGGATTTATAAAATATTTTTTTTTTCTCAAGAATCCACAAGGCGTGGATTTATAAAATATTTTTTTTTCTCAAGAATCCACAAGGCGTGGATTTATAAAATATTTTTTTTCTCAAGAATCCACAAGGCGTGGATTTATAAAATATTTTTTTTTCTCAAGAATCCACAAGGCGTGGATTTATAAAATATTTTTTTTCTCAAGAATCCACAAGGCGTGGATTTATAAAATATTTTTTTCTCAAGAATCCACAAGGCGTGTATTTATAAAATATTTTTTTTCTCAAGAATCCACAAGGCGTGGATTTATAAAATATTTTTTTTTCTCAAGAATCCACAAGGCGTGGATTTATAAAATATTTTTTTTTCTCAAGAATCCACAAGGCGTGGATTTATAAAATATTTTTTTTCTCAAGAATCCACAAGGCGTGGATTTATAAAATATTTTTTTTTCTCAAGAATCCACAAGGCGTGGATGTTAAAATATTTTTTTCTCAAGAATCCACAAGGCGTGGATGTAAAATTTTTTTTTTTCTCAAGAATCCACAAGGCGTGGATTTATAAAATATTTTTTTTTCTCAAGAATCCACAAGGCGTGGATTTATAAAATATTTTTTTTCTCAAGAATCCACGAGGCGTGGATTTATAAAATATTTCTTTTTCTCAAGAATCCACAAGGCGTGGATTTATAAAATATTTTTTTTTTTCAATAACCCACAAGGCGTGGATTTATAAAATATTTTTTTCTCAAGAATCCACAAGGCGTGGATTTATAAAATATTTCTTTTTCTCAAGAATCCTCAAGGCATGGATTTATAAAATATTTTTTCAAGAATCCACAAGGCGTGGATTTATATATTTTTTTTCAAGAATCCACAAAGCGTGGATTTATAATTTTTTTTCAAGAATCCACAAGGCGTGGATGTTAAAAATATTTTTTTCTCAAGAATCCACAAGGCGTGGATTTATAATTTTTTTTTCTCAAGAATCCATAAGACGTGGATTTATAATTTTTTTTTTTCTAAAGAATCCATAAGGCGTGGATTTATAATTTTTTTCTCAAGAATCCATAAGGCGTGGATTTATAATTTTTTTCTCAAGAATCCATAAGGCGTGGATTTATAATTTTTTTCTCAAGAATCCATAAGGCGTGGATTTATAAAATATTTTTTTTTCTCAAGAATCCACAATTTGATGTACTTGCTTCTGAGCTGAATTAGGTCGGATGTGCCAATATTTAGGTTATTTGAATTGTTATTTGGTGCACAATTAACCCGAAATCGGTTGAAGATATATATGGGAGCTATATCTAAATCTGAACCGATTCCTACCGATTTCAATAGGGTTCGTGCTTGGGCCAAGCAAGATTTGGGGAAAATTTCATTTTAATCAGATAATAAATGTGAACTGCATTTTGTTCACAAAAATACATGGACAGACGGACTGACATACATAAATCGACTCAGAAAGTGATTCTATGAAGATCCTCAAAAGTAACTATGAGTCTATCACGCTTTACTTCTCCATGTTACAAATAAATACACAAAGACACAATAGCCTTACCGCTATGTGGTGTAGGGTATAAAAAGGATTTTAAGAGCAGCCCTTCGGAAAATCATATTTGATATTCTAGAGACTGGAATGATGGACCAAGAGGAAGGATATCAATGACTTCTTTAAGGCACAATATATTTTGGATAAATTATTGAATGACAGCAAAATATAAAAAAATAAATAATTTACTAATTTTAATTAAAAATTATTATTATTAAAAAATTATTAATAAATAAATAATACAAAATAAAAAAAAAAAAATAATGAAAATAGGTTTGATTTTAATGACTAAATTGGAAATGGAACTCGAATCCAATTAAGTCTGCATTTATTATTTTCAATTTAATTTAATTTAAATTTATTTATTATTTTTTGGATTTTTTTATTGATTCCAACGTTCATAAAACACCAACATTTATTTCACAATACAAACTCACAAAAGACACTTATATCGCAGTTAGACAAACGGAAATAATACTCTTTCAAAATTTTTAACAAAAAAATCCCTACAAAAAAAAAAAATAAATAAAATTATAATCTACTTTTAGAACACATAAAATCATAATTTTGAAATCCTAGTCGCTTTTTCATTTTTTTCTTTCTTAATATTATTTGTGTTGTTTTCTTTGTTTGCAATTTCATGTTCTTCTGATATTTGGAATTCAAAATGTTTAGAGGCATTTCTTTTTTATTTTTTCAACAAATATCAGAAGCCAATGAAACTGACTTTACTCTCAACGGGTACATGTCACTTACCAAATTTAACCACGCATTTGTGGTCAGAATCTGATTCTTTTCATCCTACAAAACGAAATATACGCATTAATTATTTTTCGCTTTTGTTAACAATTAAATTCAACAAAAATATTTTCTTTTGTGAAAATTTCCGAATGTTTTCTTTTTTTTTTGTTGAAATTAATTGCTGGGCGCATATTTTCTCATATTTGGTTTTTTTGGATTTGATATTTTGTATTTTTTTTTCTTTTCTTTAGATACTAAAATAAAATACTTAAAATATTTTTAATTATTATTAATTTTTTCATATATAAATAATTTTAGTTTAGAAATAAATAAAATATCTAATATTTTGGGAAAACTTGGAAACATTGTCCAACTTACCACATCGATGATTTGTTGTAGGGTCAGTCCAAATTTCACTTCCAGGGGATCGGATTCATTTGCTACAGGTCTTTCTAAAGTATTATAGGTGGATAAGAGGTGGTTTAGTAAACGTTTTTCGTGTGGTCCTTGGCAGCTTTCTGTGGGAAGAAATAGAAAATAAAAATGGATTTGTTTAAAAATTTGTAAGAAATAGGAGAATATATTTTGGATTATTAAATTGAAAATAAATTAACGTATGCTTTATTTAATTATTTTTAAGACATTTTTAGGAATGATAATTTCTTAAATATTTTTTTTGATTATAAAAAATATTTTTTTTCTATTTATTTCAAAGACATAAGGGTAGGAGTTCTTCATAGGAGGAATTTTCCGTTTTCTTTAAATTTTTAAGGAATTTTAATTCTAATATTAAATTTCTTCTCTTTTTTTGGTTTTTTGATGCTATTTGGATGTATTGACCATATTACTATTTCAATGTTTTTATTTTTTATTTTTTTTAATGTGATGTGTTAATTCTTAATTTGCGTATGTTAATATTTTTCAGTCTTTTTAAATATGTACAATTTATTTTCAATTTTTTTTCATCTTGTTTACTCGGGAAATTATTTTACATTTTATTTAAATATTTCGGAACTTTACTATAAATTTAAAAATAATTTATTATATTTTATAAGAAATATTTTATAAAAGTCCCCTTTGAAGGGAGATTTTGTTGAATTTTTTTAGAGAATCGAAAAAAAGATTTCTTATGTTTCAAGGGAGTTTTTTAAAGGAACAATGATTTTTTCGATATTTTTGAGATATAAATTCGTAAGTTATGGCGAAAATAGGAAAATGTTTTTTTTTTTTTCAAGGCAAACCATTGATTCACGATATAGTACTTTGAACTTTTTCGAGAACATTTCAAGATTTTTTTTCTCGAAATCCCGAAAGTTGAGTTTTTTGCAAGAATGAAAAATAATAACTACGATAATTGATGTTCCCTTTATGGTATGAAAAAAAACTGGTAGATTCCTGGAACAGAGCTATTATTTTTAACATTTTTTTATGAAGTTTGTAAGGAAAAATTTAAAATTCACATTTTTGAAAAAAGTATACTCCTTTTAATGTTGAAATATTGACAATATCTCTGGATCGTCGTTGAAAAAAAAAACTTTTAAAATATCCACGCATCTGCTCGTCATTGAAAAAATATTCTTTAAAACATTCACGCCTCCGCTCGCCGTTGAAAAAATATTCTTTAAAACATTCACGCCTCTACTCGTCGTTGAAAAAATATTCTTTAAAATATCCACGCCTCTGCAAGTAGTTGAAAAAATAATCTTTAAAATATCCACGCCTCTGCAAGTAGTTGAAAAAATATTCTTTAAAATATCCACGCCTCTGCTAGTCGTTGAAAATAATATTCTTTAAAACAATCACGCATCTGCTAGTCGTTGAAAAAATATTCTTTAAAACATTCACGCCTGGGATGGTCGTTAAAAAATATTCTTTAAAAAATCCACGCCTTGGATGTTGGTTGAAAAAATATTCTTTAAAAAATCCACATCTTGGATGTTGATTGAAAAAGTATTCTTTAAATAATCCGCGCCTGGGATGGTCGTTGAAAAAATATTCTTTAAAACTCTATATATATATATATATATATATATATATTTTTTATTTTTTTTATTTTTTTTTATTTTTTTTTTAAATAGCCAACATCATTAAAATATAGATTTCTTAAAAGACCATTTAGCAATGACCACCACCATTCTTAAATGTAGCATTTTTTGGAATTATTTTTCCATGACTATGTGAACAACGGCATTTGATTTTTGAGGCATTTTTTCAAGGAGCATGTGGTAAATGAAGCCGATTTTTAATATATATTTTTTTAATTCTGAAAATAGATATTTTAGTCATTATTTTTCAAGGATCTCAGAATATGGATTTTTTAAAAATTATTTCTCAAGGACCAACTGATCCAAAATAAATATATATTTTTTTAGAAATAGTTGTTTAAGTAACTCCTGACTCCCACTTAAGAAATCTATATTTTAATGATGTTGGCTATTTAAAAAAAAAAAAAAAAAAAAAAATATATATATATATATATACATATATATATATATATATATATATATATATATATATATATATATATATATATATATATATATATATATATATATATATGTATATATATATATATATATATTTTTTTTTTTTTTTATTTTTTTTTTAAATAGACAACATCATTAAAATATAGATTTCTTAAAAGACCATTTAGCAATGACCACCACCATTCTTAAATGTAGCATTTTTTGGAATTATTTTTCCATGACTATGTGAACAACGGCATTTAATTTTTGAGGCATTTTTTCAAGGAGCATGTGGTAAATGAAGCCGATTTTTTAATATATATTTTTTTTAATTCTGAAAATAGATATTTTAGTCATTATTTTTCAAGGATCTCAGAATATGGATTTTTTAAAAATTATTTCTCAAGGACCAACTGATCCAAAATAAATATATATTTTTTTAGAAATAGTTTTTTAAGTAACTCCTGACTCCCACTTCCAATGGGTTCTAGAAAAATTATTTTTGTGGGTCATCTTAACAATAAGAATGGACATTCCAGGAATAATTTCTCAAGGAGAAACGGGGCAATGAGAGAGGATTTATATTATTTTTGAAGGACTCTCTGAGAAAAGAAAGAGAATTGCGCTATTTTACTCTGGGACCAACTGAGCCAAATAATTATTTCTTTTTAATAAAAGTGTTTTTTTTTTATTTTTAATGAATTATTTCCTAGTCAATTTGAGATTGAATTGGATTTTTAATGATTTTTGTTTATGAAGGACCATCTTGGCAATAAGAGTGGATTTTTTAATAATTATTTTCCGGGGAATAGAGCTGAAATCCTTAAATTTGATATAGATGTCACTGTTAGCGTCTGTGGTTAAGATATACAGGTGATTTTGGATAGGTGTCCTTTATATTTTTTTTTTTAAGATTTTTAAGGACTATTTTCATAATTTAATTGGATTTGATTTTTTTAAGGCATTTAATCAACAATAAAATTGGATTTTTAAAAAATTATTCTTCGAGAATCATTTGGGCAACGAAATTGGATTTTCCACCAATTATTTTCAAACAAAAATTAAAAAAAGAAATTATTAAAAAAAAAAACAATTTTTTAGGAATTCCCAATATTAAAATATGAGTATTTTTGCCCAATTAAGCACCCATGTAATCAATTGCATTATAAATTAAAAATACAATTACCCTCTACTACAAAAAGACGTGCATGTATGTGTGCATGTGCAGGAGGGATATCCTTTTTCATTTTTTTGCACACAAATATTGTACTGTAGTTGTCGCTATTCTTGTATGACACTACTGTTTACACTTGTAGCTATTCAGATGGATGGCTGTTTCCTTCAACAGCTTCCTTTCAACAATGCTGCTGAGTACTTGCGACTCAGGACATTCTATTTGCTTAGCATTAGCCTAATGAGTTAAAATTCTCAAGAAAAAAAAAAAAAAAAAACAATAACAACAACAAAATTGCAATTAATGATATTTGTGATGATTGTAAGGCTGAGCCTTGCCGCTGCTGTTGTTGTTGTTTTTGCTATTGTTTATACTCTTGTTATTGTCATTAGTTCCAGTCATAGCAGCAGTGAATGTTGTTGTTATTCTTTTTCAGTGTAATTATTCTGGTGTTTACATGCAGTTTTGTTTTTGTTGTTGTTGACAATAATGATTTTGTTGTTGTAATTGTTGCTCTCATAGAGTAATTAGATGTTTACAAAAAGTATCTCTCACTCATACATAGATACCCTCCGAAAAATAATGATTGCCATGATTTTTAATTGTTGTTTGGTCAACCCCTCCTCAACACTCCCCACCCAACATTTTTGGTATTTGCAACGCATTTCGAATTTGCTTCCGTCCCCCCCATTCCAAATCTAAAATCCAAATTATTGTTGATACTAACCAGTGGAGGTCATCCATTCATTAGTCCGTTGTTTAATGTTGTCTAATGAGTTTTCAAACTGTCAAATTATGTTCGTTAATGACAAATGATGTCCAATTTGTTGGAGGGCGAAATGCAGTACCTCGTTTTATTTGTTTATAAATATTTTGAAAAAAAAAAGTAATTGTTTGTAAATTTATTTTTAAAATATATTTGATTTTTTTAATTGCAACTCATTATTTTTAAATGGGTTTCTGTTGGTATTTTAAATGGCGGGCAGTTATATTTCTGTAAAAAAATATTGAAATATTTGTTAGAGTAATTGGAAGCAGTTACCAATATTTGGGAACATAATAAATTACTCATTAATAAATTATCACAGATTTTGAAACAGTGTGAGAGGGCCGAAGAATTAGTCGGGAATAATGAACATACAAAATTTCGACTAGTCATTCGTTATTATATTGCTAAAACAAAATAAGAATTAAATTAGAAAAAGTCCTTATAATTATGAGAAAACTGCAATCAACCTCAGACTGCTGTCATATTTAAGCCACTCGTCCGACAGATGTTAAAATTATTCCAATGACAGCTCATTATATTGTTCACAAGCGTACAAAAGCATTTTGGTGAGAAATTTTCAGAAGAAAAGTTATTCGTGATGGAATTCAAGCGTGATAGTGTGATTTCCTTATATTTGGGTGGAAAACCACAAGTGGCTATCGTTAGAGCACTCCGGCATTCAAATGTGAATAAATCTTTTGTGTCTCGTACCATCGCTTGTTACCGTGATACTAGTAGCGTAGCCCGACGTCAAAGAAGTGGACGAAAGAAAACAACAACATCAGCCGAAATGGTTCGAAAAGTAAAGAAGCGACTTGATCGAAACCCACGTCGCAGTGGCCGAAAATTTCTCGTGAGCTGAACATATTGCAATATTCCATTCGGCAAAGATTGAAAAATGAGCACGGGGTAAAGCCATTGAAATTTCAAAAATGTAAGAACTTACACCGCTTCAGAAAGGAAATATACTCAAAAGAGCTAAAGAGTTGCTTCGCTTGGCCGAAAGTGTTGAACTGCCAAATTTGGTTTTCCCCATCTCCGAGGCGAAAATATTCGTTGTCCTTCAGTTTATAAACAAACAAAATGGCAAGTAAACACCAAATAGGTCAG